CATCTGCAGCAGCAGCAGCAGCAGCAGCAGCAGCAGCAGCAGCAAGCAGCCAGCTGCTGCTGCTGCTGCTGCTGCTGCAGTGAGCGCTCCCGTTCTCTTAGTAGCAGCAAACCTCTTCCTCCTTAATTAGCTCAGCATACACCCCAATTATTAAATTATATATTTTTTTATTATTAATACAAAGACAGCAGCAGCAATAATAGCAGCGCAGCAAATTCTCCTCTTCCTGCGCCCACAGCCACACCAGCAGCAGCAGCAGCAGCAGCAGCAGCTGCTGCTGCTGCTGCTGCTGCTGTTGCTGCTGCTGCTGCTTCGGTGCTTTAAAGCAGTGCAACTAACAAGATGTTTAGTATGAAATATTATTTTATTTAATTAATATTAATTATTGATACGCATGCATGCGCTGTAGTGCTTCTGTGCTGCAGCAGCAGCAGCAGCAGCAACAGAAGCAGCAGCAGCAGCAGCAGCAGCCACTCCACACAAGCCAGTAACTGCTAGGTGTGTGCATAACAGTACATAGCTACGCTGCCCCTTTGCAGCAGGATACTCCCCACAAGCAGCAGCAGCAGCTGCTGCTGCTGCAACAGCAGCAGCTGCAGCAGCAGCTGCTGCTGATCTTATTAGCAAAGCAGCAGAAGCAGCAATAAACCCCTCCTTATAGATTTTGGGGCTTTTTATGGTGCATGCATTGCTGCATGCAACAACACCTTTATGATGATACTGCGACACAAGAGAAGCCCGCAGCAGCTGCAGCAGCAGCTGCTGCTACTATTGTTGCTGCTGCTAGGGCAGCAGCAACAGCAGCAACCATTCGCGTATGGAGGGGAGCTGCAAAGAGCTGCTGCTGCAGGTAAGCAAAGGGAATAAACTTTTGGGGCTTTTTATAGACACTGCATGCATGCAGTATAATAATAAAGAGGAAGAAAAATAAAAAAAGAAGGAAAAAAGGAGAAAAATAATATAAATAGATAAAGAAGGGAGGCATAGAGGGCACAACAACAATAAAATAAAAAAAGAAAAAAGAAGGAAAAGAGACTTCATATACTACTACGCAGCAGCAGCAGCAGACAGCAGTAGCAGCAGATAGCAGCAGCAGCAGCAGCAGCAGCAGGCGACAGTTGCTAGGGGATAAGCACTAAGAGTAAACACAATCAATGATACGTAATTGAACAAACACGTGCTGCTGCTTTTGCTGCTGTTGCTGTTGCTGCTGTTGCTGTTGATGCTGCTATTGCTGCTACTGCTGCTGTTGCTGCTGCTGTTGCTGCTGCTGTAGATGTTGTAGAGGCGGAGTTGCTGCCAACTGCGGGGCTTGGCCTCTCACAGGCTGCCGCTGCTGTTGATGATGCTGCTGCTGCAGCAGCAGCAGGCGTAGCAGAGACTGGAGCAGCAGCAGAGACTGCAGTAGCAGCAGAGACTGGAGCAGCAGCAGAGACTGCAGTAGCATCAGAGACTGCAGCAGCAGCAGAGACTGCAGCAGCAGCAGAGACTGCAGCAGCAGCAGAGACTGCAGCAGCAGCAGAGACTGCAGCAGAGACTGCAGCAGAGACTGCAGCAGAGACTGCAGCAGAGACTGCAGCAGCAGCTGCAGCAGCAGCTGAAGAGGAGAAGAGAGAAATCGATACGTCACAACTCCCTCCGGCTGAGGAGACACTATTGGAACTACCAGACAGCAGCAGCAGCAGCAGCAGCAGCAGCGGCAGCAATAACAGCAACAGCAGCAGCAGCAGCAACAGTGGAGAGGCTGGTGGTGTCTCCGCTAAAGAAGAAGAAATAAAAAAAGAAAAAGGAGACAATTCAGCTGTACATACACCGCAAGATTTGCTGCAGATGCGCCACGTACAGCCAACAGCAGCAGCAGCAGCAACAACAACAGAAACAGAAACAGCGACAACAAATATAACAGCAGCAGCAGCCGCAGCAGCCGCAGCAGCAACAGCAGAAACAGGAGAAACAACAACATCAACACCAGCACCGACAACACAAGCAGCAACAACTGCAGCAGCAGCAGCAGCAACAGCAACAGCAGCAGCAGCAGCAGCAGAAGAAGAAGAGATAGAGGAGGAGATAGATTTTAGTAAGAGTTGTTTTGTAATGAATAGAAGAATAAAAGGAGCAGCAACAGCAGCAACAGCAGCAACAGCAGCAAGAGCAGCAGGAGCATCATCATCATCATCATCATCATCATCATCAACATTAGCAACAACAGCAGCAGCAGCAGCAGCAGCAGCAAGAACAGCAAAAGAGTGCCAAGATGCATGCAAAAAAGACTCCCGCTGCAGTCATTTTTCTTATGTTATTTCTTCTGTTGTCTCTTTCCCTTCTATACAATTATGCGAATTATTTATACCTAATAAGGAGGAGACAGGTAATAATAGGGAGGAGACAGTTAATAATAGGGAGGAGACAATTAATAATAGGGAGGAGACAATTAATAATAATATAAATAAAAAAAAGGAGACAATTAATAATATAAATAAACCTTTATTTTATTATTATATGAATTCTTTATCAGCAACAGTAAACTGTCGGATACCAGGAGAACTTCAGGTGTACAGACACCATAAATTCTTTAGGACAGATCCAACTGCAGCAGGAAGAGCAGCAGGAGGAGCAGCAGGAGGAGCAGCAAGAGGAGCAGCAGGACGAGAATCAGCAGCAGCATCAAGAGGATTCTCCCCTGCCAATAAGACAAGAAGTATCCCCCCCCTTATGACCCATCAATCGACAGATAATTCTGCATATAATGCAACAAGAGGGGCAAAATTAAATAATAATAAATCGTCATTAAATGGTTTAGGGTCTCCATCTATAATAATAAATAAAAGAGGAGAAGTATGCTCAGATGTATATAAATTAGTACAAACTTATATAGGCAACGATTTTTTCGACTTAGCCAATTTTTTCTTCTTTGAATGGGGAGACCCAACTGGTGGATGTGTAGAATATTTAAATAAACAAAATGCAGAAAAATATAATTTAATTAAGGTCCTTTCTGATCAAAGAATTCAAATTCTCTCTGATACAACAGAGACATTACCAAGTGGTAAAGGGAGAAAGGCTATTAGAATTACTTCACAAAAATCATGGAATGATGTAAGAATTCTTTTTTTTTTTTTTTTTTTTTTTTTTTTTTTTTTTTTTTTTTTTTTTTTTTTTTTTTTTTTTTTTTTTTGGTGTTTTTCTTGTTTCTCTATTTTTCCCAATTATAGGTGTTGTTTCTCTGTACTACTATTACTATTACTATTACTATTACTATTACTATTACTATTACTATTACTATTACTACTACTATTACTATTACTATTACTATTACTATTACTATTACTATTACTATTACTATTACTATTACTATTAGTATTAGTATTAGTATTAGTATTAGTATTAGTATTAGTATTAGTATTAGTATTAGTATTACTATTACTAGTGGTGTTGGTGTTGGTGTATGTGTGGTTATTTTGTAGGCATTATGGGTATTAGATTTAACACATATGCCAACAGGTTGTGGTACATGGCCAGCATATTGGACAGTAGGATGGGATCCATGGCCAGATACAGGAGAAATAGATATAATAGAGGGAGCAAATAAACAAGATCATGCACATTCAGCATTACATACAAAGAAAGGATGTATAATGCCTGAGGAAGATAAATCATTATTTAATGGTGATTGGTCAAAGATATCAACAGGATCAGCAATAAATTGTTGGGTACAAGCAACAAATGATAATACAGGTTGCTCAATAGAATCATATGAGGATGCATATGGTGAGCCAATGAATAGAAAAGGTGGTGGTTATTATGTTATGCAACTTCATCCAACACGTTATATTCGTATATGGTTCTTTACCCGTCAGGAGGCACCATCAGACTTGACCAGTGGTCAACCTACACCTGACCACTGGTCTAAGACTCCTATTGCATATTTTCGACTCGAAAATAATTGTCCTGGAAATAATTTTTTTCAAGAACAGAGAATTGTAATTAATACAACTTTTTGTGGTGGCTACGCTGGATGGAATTTTTTCTATGATAAGGGTTGCCCAGGAAATGGACTACAGGACTGTGAGAATTATGTAAGAAATAATCCCCAAGAATTTCGTGATGCTTATTGGGAAATTAAATCTATTAAAATATATTCAAGAAATGGTCAACAATGTCAATCTTCTATTCATACATCTACATCTACTGCATCTACGGATAATATCTATACCTCATGTAAGGAAAATATTTATTTATTTATTTTTTTATTTATTTAGTTTTTTTTTTTTTTATTTATTTTATTTAATTATTATTATTGTTATCATAATAGTTATCATAATAATACGAATTTTTAGTTTTATTCGTAATACAATTTATTGACATAGTAGTAAACAATTATTCAATTAAATAGTAATAAATAATTATAAATAAGGAAATAACAATATATATATATATATTATATATAT